CCTAGACGTACTTGTCACCAACGCTGATATCCCGCAAGAGTAATCTCGGCTTCAGTTTGCTCCACCAATTCGCGCGGGCTTTCGACATCGGCGTCAGCTTGAAGGTGGTGATCACGAACGTAGTCTTTCAGGGAACCGAAGTGGCAGACGTTTGACGTCGCGAAGGGCGTAAGGTGCAGGGATTGGGGAATAGCGGTCCAGCCTAGCCTTGCAACCTCCTGGCGAGTGGAAATTGTTACAATCGATTTTCTTTTAATTGAAATTGGAATTGTTGTATCAATAATAAAACTGCTGCTTCTCAGTATGCCGCATGGAGAAGGGCGTTGTCTGAAATTTTCTGAATAATAGTATCGATCTTGTGCAGAGTGTTTGTGCACCTTGAGCAATGCAGAAAGCCTCTATGTTGTTAACTGTGTGCCCATACCCGAGAAAATCCGCGAAGAGTATGGCAGCCAGGGAGGGGGGGGGGGGGGATGGACTGTACTTTTTGCCGCCGACCAAATTTCTACAGGAAAAATTGTTGCCAGCAAAGCAAAGCGATACCTTACGAAATAAAATGACATGAAGTCCGTTCGCAGGGGCGTCAAGAACCATCCTCTCACCGAAAACCTCTTCCATCGCCGCACTTTCCAATATCATGCACACAACCAAAGCGCTCAGTTATACCGTGCCTTCCAAATAATATCAGGATAGCTGCTGTTGCTAGGAAAGCAACAGCAGCACCGTTCATAAACTATGGGATAGCACAATAGCAACAGCAGTCTTCTTCCACCCTCGGGATCTGCCGGGGCCTCACGTTTAAAGTCGATCTACGGCTGGATTTGCTTTCCTCGCCACTGGAAACAAAACAAAAGAGAGGCCTTGACAGGGCGGCTGAATCCTTACATGGCAGAATTCGAACTGGTAGGCAGCACTGGGAATGACGTCTTACATGCGGGCCTCCTCGAAGCAATGGCCGCTTATGAAAATCACGCATGCGTTTCGAGTCCCATCTCAACCGTCATCAAACTCTTCGCCCTACTCTAGACATGCTTTAACCCTGGCACATGCGTTGCCTGGTGGGTGCCTTTTGCTGTCTCCTAAAAAGTATGCTGCCTTGAAATTTTCTAATAACTATCCATCAAGCTGCCAATTCTTTCGAAAAAAAACATGATGGTTTTGTCGGCAGGGAAGGGGGCCAATGCAACCTTCCCTCCCCCCCCCCCCTCCTAAGAATTTCTGAGAATACCAGTCCGGCATATTGCGCAGCCGCCCTCAAATTTTTGGCAGCCTGTGGTACATCTCTTGCACGTGTGTTGACACGAAAAACTTGCCCCTAGCGTTTCTGGTTTCGGATTGGCGCCGGGGTTTCTTACGAGCACTGCAAGACGATCCCGTACCGGCGGGGGCGGCGAACCGCAGGCGACGATTCCGTGGACTGCGCGCAGAGGTCTGACACTGTTACATTGATGAAGCTCCAACTTATAGATAAAGGCTCTATACAGGTAAAGCTGCATACCATTGTCCCAATAATTAACAAGGAGCAGGTCTCTTTATGTTACATGTCTCTGCCCTGCATGGGTTTGCACATATGAGCATACAAAGCTGAAGTAGTTTGATTTTCAGGAACATTTGCCCTTGGACTTGGTGTGGTGTGGTCCATTAACAACAAGACTTCTTACGAATCGTGAGATCCCGTTAAAGACAATTCATCGTTTATTGTTCCACGAGGCTCTACCTTTCTTAATTTCAAACGGCACCGGGTCATACCCAGTTAGTGTACGTTATAAAAACCAGTGAATCAGGGTAAGGGTTAAAATCGTTGGCTATCGTCCTTCTTTATTCATTTGATATACGCTGGTGTACAAATCTGCATCTCAGATCATGAAAAAATCAGGTGGTACAGCAAAATGACATATTTTGTTACCAACATCCAAACAGGGGTAGAAATTCAATCAGTAAGCCAAAACTGCCCTTCGAACGCTTATTAACATGGAAATTTAATCGTACCTGTGATACTTGTCATGTATAATGCAGGAATGTCGATTCAAATCAATTTCTCGGGCCCTGCCAACCCCCATGTTGTATTGGGCCCCCTCAATCTGGTGCTCCTCCCCCTTTACACTACACTCTGGACTGGAAGATTACCAGAGTATAAAAAGATAACCACAGCACAAAATGTATCTTTTTTAGCTTTATTCATTGACCGAGACCCATGGCTTGCTACTTTTCCCTGATCATGCATATAAAATTGACGCCCCTGTCACTATACGACCACCATACAACCTACTTTGTTTTTCACCATTATGTTGCTCAGATGATTAATTTCAAATTTATATTACATTTGTCATGCTCGCGAGTGCAAACAAATGCATAGGAATGAGCATTGCTGGATGACTCAATTCCAGTGTTTTCCTGTTACCGTCCGGGTGCTATCATCAGCAAGCAGACAACATTGACAACAGAGACGATTACATGCCCATATTTCACTGAACTCCTAGGACGGTTGGACCACAATACCATAAACCCCCCGCCATTTGAAGTAAAGCTGCTGGCTAAGGGTGATATGGTAATTGGAACCTGCACCCTCTCTCCTCATCGCCTGCATTTGATTCACCACCTCACGCCACACCTATCATTGCCTTCTCATTACATACATCATTGGCTGCCCGATAAATTTCCAGAAACTGAGGCTCATAGAAGCAAAAGTTTGAACTTTGAATAGTTGTTTAAATACTAACAAAACATTGATGAAATAGTTGCATTTTAAGCAAGGACATAGTTTTGAAGAAAGATTGGATGGAGCAGTGGAAAATTATGCAATCTACCCCGAAAATACGGATGCCTCCAGACTGACACACTTCTTCGCAAACTGAAGGGGGAGGGATAGAGCCCTGAACTGAGTAGGAGCCTAGGTACACCCCTGATTTGTAGATCTATGTTGACTGGTAACTACTGTCAATCAGGACAAGAGCAAAAATAGCATACGTTGGCATTTCAATCATCCGCTCCTGTCATTCCCCCTCAAGATAAGGGTCATCAGACTTCAACGTCGAACCCACGTTGTTCTTTTCAGAGGGAGTATACTGGTCTATACTATACTATACTGGTCTATACTATACTATACTGGTCGTTTGTGACTGCCACCGTGAGTCAACAGACTTTGCTGCGAATAGAAAACGCGGTGAGAATGATCACAGATCCATTTCTACCAGGATCGGATCGTCTCGCTGACTTACCCTGAACTATCACTGCCTATCGTCGCTGAGCACACGATGCTGAATCACGGCACCGCAACGAATTACGCTGGACCCAAAAATTAAAGCCTAAGCATTTGTTCATGGTCCTGTAATGCGAGTGGCGCTTGCAAAGTTGCAGTGCATTGAAAGTCACCGCCCACCTTAGTCAGTCGCATCGTAACGATGGAAACATGCCCTTGCGGCCTTATGAATCCCCATGTCTAGATTGTTTTCAGCATTTCATACTGCCCATTTTGGGACACTGAGAGTCGGCTGGTAAAAACAGCGAATCGGCCGACCGGACGCGTCGTGGAAGATATGCTGATTTGCCGCCGATCTGTCACCGAGTCCAGTGATCAGCTAGAAATTATAGGATATTTTTTTCGCCGTTCTAGAATAAAACCTAAAAAAGAAATCATGGTGCCGTAGGGCACGGTAAAGAGTCTTAACAGAAAGACTCGCTGGTGTCGTGTGACGAAATCCATCACCATGGGGACATAATGTCGATGTATGGGTACTTGATGTCGAGTTTTGCAGCGTGCTGTGTTATGTCGTCGTGGCCGTCGCCAAAATGCCCTGTCAAAAGCATCTTTGACACCAAGGCTTGCGTGAAAATGTACAATTTTATCGCCGACCGTATCCACCAAGTCGGCATGTTTTACCAGCCCTGACGGCAGCTTACAACGCACGTGTAACGTGCATCTAGCGCACGTGTATCTGGCTGTTGCGTCGGATCGACCTGTCCACTCCGCCAACCATATCATAAATTTGCGCTTTCAGAGATCAGCCCCATCTTTGCCGCTGGTGCCGCGTTCACCGTTTTTAACCTCGAAAACAGTTATGTTGCATTCGAATCGGTCATGGGTACTCACAGCAGTGCATTTCATGCATCTCGGCATGGCTGTTTGTCGAAGTCACTTCTTCGACATTTATAACAAAAGTGAGGGCACGTTACCTGGATCTTGTGACCATGTTTTTGTGCCGCTGCATATGACTGGAAAAACTCTTAGCGGCATGATATGTTTTACGGGCTTGATGCGCATTACTGTAATGGAGATGTTCTCTTTTGGTGCGATTTGTAGAGAATGTGCAAGATATTCGCCTGTTTTTGAATTGCGCTAACACCAAATTTACCCCGAGCTACTGACGTTAGATCTCAGTGAACAACCTAAAAGCATGGGTAGCCGTGTCTCTATACCGGTGGCCGCTCTGCCCCGGCTAAACGGAGCACGCAGGTCAAAGGTCACACTGTGCGATGCGCCGCGGGCTGGGAGCTGATTGTCCAGCCGTCGGGTGGCCTGCTGCCCGGACCGCATCCGCCGGGGACTTGGCTGCTAAATTTGGTCCGCCGTGGGCATGTGTGACTCACGCGTGGCGTAGTCAATCAATGCACGCAGAAAAAATCACGACATTGACAAAAAATGCACGAAGATGTTGTTATGTTCATGCTGCACCAAGACCAGACGTCGTCTGGAAAGAGCTTGCGAAAATTACGAATTCGTTTTCAGCTTGAAATAGTCGAAATCCGAACTTAAGTGACGAAAAACGCTTGGGAAGTTCGTGACGTATTGCCGTTCGATGACGTGCGGTGCAAGGAGCTTCGTGTAGCGGTTTAAATCGAAAGGGCAGAAAGGCAAAATCAACATCGCAGCCATCTGGAGCTGTAGTACAAATATGACAGTAAAAATACGTGACTGTAAAAGCAACATAGCGTGACTTAAGGGCACCGGGCAGATTAGTGTTGACAACATGCACGTTCCCTAACAGCATTCCCTTCCGCAGGATGCGCACCACGGTGAACTACTTCATCGGTAACCTGGCGGTGGCCGACATCCTCATCGGCGTCTTCTCCATCCCGTTCCAGTTCCAGTCGGCGTTGCTTCAGCGCTGGAACCTGGCGCACTTCATGTGCCCCACATCGGAGTTCTTCGCTACGCTCAGCGTCAGCGTGAGTACGCCCGGGCTTAAAGGGAGCCACCGCCCTGAGTCAAATGGAGTCGCCGCCCTGAGTCAAAGGGAGTCATCGGGCTTAGGAGGCAGCGGGAATCGAACTCCAGACCTGTTGATATAAAGCTAATCTCTAACTGCTCGCCTGCTTTCGTTTAAGACTAAGTGAGCGCCATCGCTTCGTCGTAGTCAATAGCAGATCTTTTAAAAGCTGTTTACAAACATAACATAGCGGTAGGATAATTTGGTTTACATATTCACACCTTGGCTTAGGGGCCATCGGCCAGGATAGTAATCTAGCTGCATGGGTAGATTGACGGTTAGCGGCACGGAGTACGGTTCCTAGACAGGACGTATTGTCACGCCCGACTGACAAAGAAAGGCCAGCTGGCAACCGGCCAAACAAGGTCAACCTGGCTCAGGCCGGCCAAGTCCTAGCATGATGCGGTACTGAATATCTTCTTCAGTCCCGTAAACCTCCCAAAAAACTGAGTCAAAATTGATGCGCGTAGGCGGTCGTCGCATCACAACACTCCCAAATTCCTAGGGTACGATAAACAAAAATCGAAAGTGAATTGGTGCATTTAACCTCCCATGGTTTGTTATTTTTGGATCTTTCTTTGGGCCGTAACAAACGTAGAGTTATTTGCCCCGTCACCGCCATGCATAAGCACGGTATCGAAATTGTGTGTCATCTGGAGGCATTGCAGAATATTATAGACCGGTTCCACTGACTACTCTCTGAGGCTCGCCAAACCGCTAACTCTGGTCTTTCAAAGCATGGTTTCAAGTGGCGGCGGAGCAGACGCGGCCATTCCATCCCAGCCCATCCATCTTTGAATCAGGGATGGCTCACCGGCTACGGATAGGCCTTCAGCCAATCGATGGGCTGCACTTAGAGTGGCCCCCATGAACTGCCTACCCGTACCAGTTATGCACTCCCCAAGACGGCCTTCCGAGGTCAGAGTCGTGAGTGAGTTTTGGTAAGAAGGTGACCTTGAGGGCTGAGCACTCCTGTTCTCGATTCTTCCTCGAAAAGGCCGCTTTAGATGGTTCGTCAGTGTCCTGACGTTAAACATGGGAGCCTTAGACCTGCACTTGAGTGGTTGCAGACGCCTGCATAATGTGTCAAAGCTGAACCACGTGAGAGGAAATGCAATATTCAGATACTGCGCGTAGGCGGTCGTCGCATCTCAACACTCCCAGCGGTACTGGAGTTGTACCGGAGCCAACTGGTGGGCCACTCCGAGCTATTCTGTTGCCACCAGAATACAGCCGTCTGCCTTAAATGTTTGCCAAGTCGTGGGACAGTGCAAACTCCAACAAAAATGCATTCAGGCTCGAATATATAGCCTTCATCTGGTTATTGTAGTACCTTCCGGCTGCACTAATGAATCCTGCTAAATGAAGTCCGAATTCATGTCGTTAACGAGTGCAGACTGGTTCGTGTATGAGGGAAGCTCCATCGACATGCTCCCCATGTTTCACGCTTCGACGTGCATTGTGCATATCACGGATGACCAAATTTGGTCTTGTTTTTTTAAGCAAATAATAGGCATGGCCGTTCCTACTCCATCACGCCCTGAGCACAACACTCTTCCCAAACACATTGGTTTGCCATTAGCACGGCTGAGAATCCGACGTCGTACGGCAGCACCTGACGTGGTTCAGCGTGCCAGAGTAAAAAGCTTCCAGATATAACCACGTTTCATGCATGTTTATGAGGCCGAGTGAAGACCGTGGCGCAATTACGGCGCGTGGCTTACCGCCGCGCACTCTTCTGTTGGCACGGTTCTCGCGCGCACCCGCTATTTATGAAGCAGCACAATTTGGACTAAAACAGCATGGTAATCTGCGGTAGTCTTCGAAACGTGGCTACACTTAGGGAAGTGGTCTCGATGTACAGTGCCGCTTCCGCTGTGAAAGCTGCAGTTATGTCCAGCCGCAGTTAGGGTAATGAACAGTGCATTCCTTTGGCGGCCCTAAATTTTAAAGTAAACAAATGATCTGGCCTCTACAGGAGTGAAGTTCACAGCCCTCAGCCAGTCAACTAATCGGGTTATCGAGTCAGCGATTGTTTGCAGTTAACCCTGCCGCGCGCCGAGCGAGGCAGTCCTGCACATTGTCGCTCAGCGCCACAGGGGCGGATTCAGGTCAATGTGCAGGGACGGCCACTCCGCGCAATGGCGTACCCAGGCGCGTGTGCGGAGTCGGGCGAGCGCAGTTGGACGTCTTTCTCTGGTCTTGGCCACGCAAGACCAGCCAAGTCATGCTCTTTTCCGCATGCTTGGTGTTCTTCGTTTCAAAACTAAGCATTGTGTGAAAACGTGATGTGATAAATCTTACCAGTTGGACAGGAGTACAAGATGCTCGCAAAAAGGCCAAGCCACGCTCGTTTATGGAGCCGCATCAGCAGCAGTCAAGCCTCACATATGTGTCACACCAGGGCGTGGCAAACAGCTGTGCAGCTCAGACAACACAGCGGCTTATGCGGCGGCCGGACTAATCCGTCGTGACAGGCTGGACGCATTCGTCTGTCCATGACATCGGACCCTGTCTTATCGTATAATGTGCTGTCAGCGGGACAAAAACGGAACGAAAAAAGTTCCGGGTGCACTCACACGCACTGCTCAATGAGCAGTAAACCCTAAATATCGTATTACGTAAGTTGTTCATTACATCAGCGGGGAACATTAGTCACATAGATAAGATAGTAGCATTAGTCTTATTCCTCGGAAAAAACAGGAGGATAGAGATGTAGTTAGGTTGATGTTTTGGCAACGTGCCTTTCTCAATGTGCAGAAATATTTACTTCTGCTGTTGTTTTGAGAAAGGCATGTTGCCGACATATCCACCTAACGATATCTCTGTTCTGGTTTTTCCTAGGAATAAGGCTATTCCTAGGAAAATCGTCTTATCTTTTAAATATCATACCTGATAAGGGCAAATTGTGGTGCTGCGTCTGGCTACACGCAGCTGGCATTTCTCCAATTTCCGCTCCATATCTCTACGCAAACCTGTCAGGATATTAATCATTTTTCATTTATCCTGTCGTGTTGTACGTGCTTGTGGTGGCTGCAAACGGCACGTACACGCGTGGGCACGACATGGCTCCAAATGGCACGCACACGCATGTGGCCGCGCCACAACAACTCGTGACATATCATTTTCCGACGCAATGACCCGTCTTACCAGTTGAAAAACAATGGTTAGCCCTGGCCGGCAATTTCTATTTGTGCGGCGGTGCTCTCGGATCGATGCGCCCCTGATGGGCTTAATCAAAGGGAATGGAAAAAGAAAGGAAAGGAGATACACCAAACTGATAGAGCGGCGTAGTTATCCAACTTTGCTTGACCGTCCTTGACCTTCACCAGCCATGACTTGACCGGTCCGTGATTTACTAACCCTAGAAAACCAGAGCAGCTATATTTTTTAGCAGGCGAGGTAACAACTACACAGACGTATGAGCCGAGCCGCCATTGAGGGCACGCTGCGTTTCACATCTGGCCGAACTTATAACCTTTCGACCTGTGAGAATGAAGCTATTTACGGCATTCACCAGCCACCCAGATGCACGCTGCCAGCGTGTTCCCAGTGTACAATAGTCACCTACAGGTTATTGCTACCCATGCAGGCCATAATCAGTCGCCGTGATTTATTTCTGTGCATAAATATCTCTTAATTTTAATGATGTCTTGATAATCAGCTGGCCATCGTCCCCGATAGCTCGACATAACGATGCGAAGTCAGCTGTAAAAACGAAGGAAATCTGTTTGGTCATTCAGAGTCACGCAGCAGCAGGCAATGAGTGGCGCTAGATTTTGCCAGAGGGCCGGCGCTGCCACTCTGCCATCTTCACTCGGTGCAGCCATAAATCGGCTCATAGCGAGCGATGATACACAGGGGCGGGAGTTTTCCATGATTCGCGAGTTGTCAGTATCGGTATACAGCAAAAGCCAAACTGTCCGATTGATCTCCAACAAAATCCCGATTGATACGTTGTGGCTAGATGGAGGGGCATGTGGGTACGTGCCTCATTTCAACCCATTCGCGATGTCAGCGGTCGCCTGGAGTCAGATGAGGTGCACGTGTCGATGTTATCGCACAGCCTGATAGAGCAGACTGGACGTGATATTGAGTTCGCGATGGCTGGGCAGAGCAAACGCCAAGTGCTACCCGACAACATCTGTGGTCAGCAGCAGGCGGCCAGGGTACCTGCTCATGCTCAAATGTGATCTTAAAGGGAGTGTCCCACTTTCGGGGCATTTTTTTTAAAACTTAAGTTCAGCCTCAGAAAAAGCTACGCGTGATAATATCACCGAGTAGTGTCACTGCAGCACCGTAGAAATGTGATGCGGATATCAATGTTAATTGGCTTCTAGTCTAAATTACGCTTTCAACGGCTTGTAAGAATACTATGCTACATTCCAGCAGTCGTAGCCGCCGTATGCGCACTAGGGTGCGAAAAAAGCAACATTTGTGATTGGCTCAGCGGGCAAGGGCCTCTTGCCAAGGAGCACAATGGTCGGAGTGTGAACTAGTGCGTCACAAGGACCGTATGATACACCCATTCCCGATGCCAGTTTGCCTCGAAGAGTCGTAGTTCTAAACGCTATGGGGAAGAAATCAAGCCCGTAGTATAACGTTTCATATTTATGTTGATCTATTATTGCTTTAGCTCTTGTTGCCTCAGCGTAAGTGCAAGTAGCTCATGCACTGTTATGTGAATAGCGCATAACTGCCTCATTTGGCATGATTTTCCTTCAAAACTCTGAAAAAAGAGTAACCAGAATACTTCGATGCTTTCCCTGATGTCTTTTCGGCCCACGCGACGCGACCAGCTCCCGCCTCCTCATAAACCGACGACCACTCTCCATCTGAAACTCTGAAGCAACCGCCCGTCCAAATGGACAGAGCCGGCGCTGCGCCTGTCGCCAGCTGTCACCGGTCTGGTCTGGTCTGGTCTGGTCTGGTGGGTGGGCCGCCCGGTGACGGCGCATCTGACAACCGAGGAGCAAAGATCTCTCTCCCTCCCCTCCCCCCCCCCCCCTCCTGGTGCTAGCTTGTGTTTGAGGGGGCTCTTTTCTAACATTGCGTAAGTGCAAGACGGCCTTCTGGTGATAAACTGTAGGTCCATTCATGTTAATAGCATGGACTTAGAATGAACTTTTTACGTAGCAATGGCATAACCATTCATCCAATCACGAACGTGCCATCCGCAGAAGATATTCAAATAGCCTGAGGAAAATCAATGGGTAGCGTAGGAACGCGCAATTCTATAAAACGATTCATTTTTTAGCTCAGCGATCTGTTTGCCTTCTTTGTATTACTGCTGTGATCTAACTTTTTCAAAAGCCACGTGTCAAGGCCAATATGATGGGACATCGTGGCAGCTATGCTAGAGCCCCAGGCCAAAATGCTCATATTTCGATGATAACGAAGACGATAAACATTATAAGCTGTGTTATGGCGCTTAACCGTTGCGTACGTTGGGGTGGTCTATTCAGGTCGATATAAGTGACTGACAGTGCCGGCATCTGCAGAAGAGTGTAGACTGACATAACGAGTTTGCAAAACTGTGTAGACAGACGAAACGAGTTTGCGGACGTTTGCAGACACACAAGATTGGTGTAGACGGATAATACCAGCGACGACTGTCGATTGGAGTCTCAAAAAGAGTGCGGACGGACGAGACGAGTTTGCAGAAGAGTGCAAGCAGACGAGACGAGTCTGCAGACGAGCGCGGTGGACTAGACGAGTGTAGACGGCGGATACGAGTGTAAACGCTCGATCCGAGCCTCCCGACGTGTTCAGACAGACGTGAAGAGACGAGTTTCAGACCAATGCAGACGCATAGGCATCGACGTCGATTTCCAAACTCAAGCGAACTAACGGTGACCTCGTTCCAGGTCAGCGTGTTCACCCTGACCGCGATCGCGATGGACCGGTACCAGGCGATCGTCTATCGCCTGATCAACCACCAGTCACGGCAGCGGACCAAGGTGGCCATCGTCACCATCTGGGTGCTCTCTGTCAGCCTGGCGCTGCCGCAGGCGCTCTGGCTCCGAGTGTGCCTCCACTGGGACGACCTCATCAGCGCCTACAAGGTGAGGGCAACACAAGCTTATCAGCCCCAACGACGTGAGGGTAACACGAGCTAATCAGTTCCCACAAGGGGAGGGTGACACAAGCTAATCGGCCCCTACAAGGTGATGGTAACATAAGCTTATCAGCTCTCATGAAGTGAGAGTGGCACGAGCTAATCAGCTCCTACAATGTGAGAGTAACACGAGCTAATCAGCTCCCACTAGGTTACGGTGGGATGGAGCTGGCGGTTGAGCGCGAAATTTGGACGAGATCGCTAGGTCTTATAGATGATGTTGGGAAGTGAGCTGAACTCTTGAGCACTACGTCCATGTGTAGAGCTTCTCTCCAGGCACTCAAATCATTGAAGAGCTACTCAAAACCACTGAAATAAGACACTAAGTGTTGTTTTTTTTTGCTCGTTTGCCCTCTGGTCTCCAGTGCATCAAACGGATTTCCGCCCTTAGCCATATTATTGGCGGCGTTTTACATCTTATTTATATACGCATTCGCCCTTCCCCGCCGTTGTTTCTAGCCTCCAAGAAACCATCTTAGTAAGAGGGCTTAATGTACATGCCGTGTAAACATAATGTCGTCCTACACTGAGAAGATTTGGCTGCTTCATCGTTAATTCTCAGGAAACGTATCAGAAAAAATCACGGTCTTTCAGACACATTCATCGTCAAATTCTTAACGATGAATGTGTCTGAGTAATATCTGAGTAATACTACTGGCTGCTTACTAATTAGTAAGCAACCAGTAGTACTTCTGAAAGTCTCCCCTTGCGATGCATCTTTAATGTCATCATCAAACTAACGAGCGTAACATAGCTAGTGATTGCTCGTGTTCTAGGAATTGCTCGTTGAATTAGATGTGGCATGTTTGCATAAATGAGATATGCGCGGGGATAACATAATAATGAAATGACACCGATCTTCGCATAAATCAGCGTAGGTTTACTCACATTTGAGCCGCTCGCAAGCATTCTATGCTTAATCTACGCACATTTTACGGACTGATAACCGTTACAAGACGAGTATCGCACACCGATGCGCTGTACCGTTCATCATGGAGTGACGTGACGTCATGCATTTAAATCACCAACCGTCAGACTTGAGAGACTGTCTTCGACTGGCCCCGCCGAGCGTCGGCTCAACTGACCCGTGGCCAGGACACACGGACCGTGACGTCATCACTGACTTCACGAACCCTCGGTCCGGCTTACCAGTGGCCAGGTCACACGGACCGTGACGTCACCACTGACCTCACGAACCCTCGGTCCGGCTTACCAGTGGCCAGGTCACACGGATCGTGACGTCATCACTGACCTCACGAACCCTCGGTCCGGCTTACCAGTGGCCAGGTCACACGGACCGTGACGTCATCACCGACATCAACGCCGAGCCCAGGCCATCGACGTCGTGACACTGAATTGACAAGCTCAGAAATGATGAACTGAAGCCGCACGGTCCAGTGCCTCTTGTACCATGGGGATACAGAGATACCGGGACACCCCCATCAAATCAGTGTATACTAGGCCATCACAGCAACGATCCGTTCGAAGACGGGTATTATCGATAGACGTACGGGTAGACGGGGTCATTATCGACCTGAAATAGGCACGGTTGGTGCACTTGAGATCAAACAAACTGCCCCTGAAATGGAGGGACGTGGCTCGTTGTGAACGTTTAAGATTCACCTCAAGGCAGATATGGTAAGATAGCTAGCTATGGTATAGCTGCTAATGGCTATTGGTGTAATATATGGTAATGGAATAGATAATGGTATAGATGACGATATAAACATAACGGATGTTGATGAGTGTAAGAGTACTGTTTCAAGGTAGAAGTAGCAGTATGCTGCGTAGCAGCCCATATTTGTTGCGTAGTAGCAACGCAGTAGTAGTATGTAACAGTTACGTATGCAGCGCTTAAAGCAGGGGAACATAATTACATCTTGCACAGATTGGACAGCATGCCGTTGATGTCAGCTGCACCGAGGCACGTCACACATGCACACATGTAAGCACACGCAAGCACGCACGCACGCCCGCACGCACAGGCACGCGGCTTGTGACAGCACAGGCGAGGAGCGCCAGCTGGACGTCACCGTGCTCATGCTACGTCCGACGGCCGGCAGCGAACACTGACGACGCCACGGCGTTAACACAACAGCGGCTATGTGCTGCCAGCGCAAGCTTCTGCTGACCGCCCGGCGGCCCGACGCGGGGCCTGAGCGGTCGTAACTGCTCTCTTTCGTTGGCATCGGCGCACGGACCTGGCCGCACACACGGTCATTGGGGTGCGAGAGAGTGGGAGATGTTAGTAATTATATATCTCTAAATGCGGTGACGGAGATATCTTCCACCACTAATTTAGTGAGCTTGATAACCGCCACTGATCACGTCATCTACAAGTGGAGGCAAATTAAGTTTGGATGCACGTGCACAAAATCAAAAGTTCTCCATGGTTGTGTTGCATCGCTTTGATCAATGTTAATTTTCTAGAAACTTTCCACACATATTTCAAGCACGGAATCAGCCACCAATTCTAATGCATGCAATTTGCGTAGTTAAGCAAACTTTATTTGCACGCTACGTGCAATTTCTATGCTCAGAGTTTGTTTGCCTGCCATACTGGTTTTGCTTTGTTTTGTTTTGTTTTTTGACGGTGTCATGTCTGACAAAGATGCAAATGATTGAGAGAACAAGCACCAAAATTGCCGCTGTGCTTTCACCAGCCTCGTTTCTTTTGCAGATGTCCCAGTTAAGCTCGCTGTCGGTCAGTTTTGTGTCATCCTTCGATTTATCAAATTATTTAAGTTTGGTTCGCTTAAAAGGGAGACATCTTGCGTCAACAGCGAGGACATAAAATCACGGGGCCTGCACGGCTCAGTGACGAGCAGGTTTATAACGACTGCGATGCTCTGGAGCGGAATGTCTGTGTTTTTCATACCTTGTGATCTTTTAGCCTTTGGAACGGTTTTTATTTTTACTTCCCGGTTCTGCACCATACCGCAGCGCTGTAGGGACTCCCTCACGTCATTCCACTTTTTTCTTCAGTGTTGATTGGTTTGATATCGAAGGAACCAGATCTCCGTTTCTTTATGTTCCTTTTACCTCGGGCTTATTCTCATCGGCGGCCTTCCTTTTGTTGTTGATAACGCCTCCACTGCGTGGAATCTGATTTCGACGAAGCTGCCTTATATCCTTCTGGCGAGGAAGTTGGACAGTTAGTTTTTGAGTTTTAAGGGCCTGTTAACTGCTTTGGTCACTTCCGTTCATCGCTGAGTCTCAGAATGCCCAGTGGCATTCTGAAATGAGAACTCTATTAAAGAACCACAATTCTTGAGAGTAAATTCACTGATCAGCGCAGATACCGCCGATGCCGCAGTCAGTCCTTCCAATGGACGGCCTTCGCAATACCACCAAAATAGGACGAGCACCGGACAATGCCTTCGACTTCTCGGGCATTGTTGGCAAATATAAAAACGTAAGATGCAGATGCAGCTATCTAAAAAAAACAGCCACTGTGCGGAAAACGCACCTTCAAACTTGTCAACATGCAAAACTGCAGCTAGTTAAATCTTAAGTCTCCGAACTTTGTCTCACATTGATGAAAGTCGTCGACACTCTGATCATGCCAACCTTGCAAAAAACATCTTGCAATTGGAACAGAATAAACATCTAGCAACAGCAATCTGTCGAATGATAACCACGGGCTGGTCTCTTGTGCACAGACGAAATGCCCGACCCAAAGCGCCTCTGGACAGTCCTTCGCCACCGAAAGTCCTTCCTCGTGCTTCGCTTCTTTCCGGAAATGACACCAAATAACATAGGCTCCGGTTCCAAATGGTAATGAATGGTTGCCAACTCGCCGAAAATATTATGCAGTGATAAAAGACGCAGTGATCTGTGGAACCGCAATCATAATTTACCGTGCTTTTTACGCCAGACACTACCAGCCTGATTCTGGCCCATCACCCTCGCTTGAATTGCGAACTTTTTGGCTCTCGACTTTCCATATGAAGCAAATGACTGATTGGATGTGTAAGAAAAAGGCCGCTGCCCCGTACCAGCGCAGCGTAGCTGCTTTTAGAAGATCTACTCCGTTGCGACACTGAGGACTGTCTATGGGACCTCGAAGGCTTGTTCTCGACCCGGCCTGGGTGACTTGTTTGGTGACGCTGTAGCCTCGGAGGTCTTTTTCTCAACACGGGCTGGTTCACTGATTCGGCGGCGCTGTGGCCTCGCCACTGATTGCTTGCATTGGACGCGGAGTCATCGGACGTGCGCGGGCGAGCACCTTCCGTCATCGCACCTGTGGCTTCGAAAACATCAGGCGCTTCAGACTGAACCGAGGACACTGAGCACGTGAGACGAGGAGCTCAGCATGACGCGGTCCAAAATTTTGAACTTTGCAGGAGCCGTTCCGCGCGGACGGGCGGCAATGAGGTAGCGTTGCGTTCATTCGACTGCCGCTCCCAGTGGTGGGCCGCACTGTTGTTGGGAAGTTGCTGCTAATGCAGGACGTGTGGAAATGACATGGAGCAACCGGAAGCTATATGCTGTAATGATGCATCCTCCTATCCAAGACACGCTAATACTTAGCTTGGCCCTCTGGGAATGCTTGTCTCGATCTAGTGACACTGAACATCTATGGACGACCCAGCTATGACGCAGCATAATGAGCCAGCATCCAATGTCCACAGCCACAACTCATCGTCCGCGTCGTCGAATTTATGACATGCCAAGCCTGCCGGGTGTTATTTAGCAGAGGTGTTCACCATGGCGTATATCCATCTAAGATAACGGATCTGGGATAGTTCGAAGCCAGCAGCCCTGGCCACTCCGGGTGTATACTGATTTGTGAATTGATGTCAACTGTGAATTGTGAATTGATATGTGAATCGGTGCGTATAGCACAGCTCAGTCACCTGCTGTTGGCAGAGACCTGCTTTCTAAGGCTTGGAGGGCACAATACCTTGGTTTAGCATCTTACCTTTCACCACACAACCTTTCTTTACACTATAGAAATTTGCGAAATGCTTAATTTAACGCGGAAGTTAAGGAAACCAGCGTAGTATTTTCGCATGTGACTGAAGCTATAGCCGCACCGCTGCACCACCGTACCATGGCAGCACTTTTGGTAGAAGCGCTCAGTGATGTAAGGTGAAGACAAGAATTCTATCATCCTTGTGTCGGTTATGGACAAGTTTGTAGTTTCTATGTAGTTAAGTTCCCACTTGAAAGGATAACAGACCGATTCTGGTTAGAAACCTATTTTCAGTACTTTATGGGAATGTTTTAATATCTATCCCCCTCCCTCCCAAACTTGTATTGCAAAACTATGCTCCCAGTTAAAGATAAGAAAATGTTTCGAGCATTGCTTGTTGCCACGCACCAGAAAATGCGTTTACCCGGACTTCGGAAGGCCTACTTTATCTTGGAGGCGCAATTCGGACTGCTTTCCAGCTAGCCGCGGCGAGCGACTCGAATCAAAATAAATCATCTCAAACTCATTGGCTGCGGAGCCTCAGCGGGACGGATGATCACGTGACTGAACGGTGGGTTGATACTGGTCGGAGATCGGCGTAAATCAATCTGTTTATGACCGTTTGCGAGGCTGGGGTGGTTGTCTCCGGGGGGGGGGGGGCGGGGAGGGGCGGGGGGGGGGGGTGATGGGGGGGGGTGATGGGGGGGGGAGCAGGAGTCCTAGCACGGGGGGGGGGGGCTTGTTGCCCAACTGCTAGGTGACACTTCATCACCAGATGTCTTCAGCATCGCGGAAGCACTGAATACGCGGAGCGATGAGCAAGATGTGTGTCCTTTATGTGAATTAACTAGCTTGTGGAAAGCTTTAAATGCCAGGGATCGTTTCTCTTCTTCAAAATTGTGCTTGGCTTACGATACTTATCATCTCAGTATCAAATAGACTTCCAATTTGCACTGTCGATGTCTAGAATGATATCAATAACTAATAAACGCTTACATTGAAAGAACACGCAATATGCTCAGACACACTGCATTGTTCAGATATCTTTTATGCTTTAATGAAAGTTTGCAAGCAAGGAAAACTGCAGAATGTAAAAACTACAAGTTGTAACAATAGCTGTTCGTGAAGGCTTGCCGAGTACTGTACTTAATACAAGGTCACAGACACAAGCACAGATATAGACACAGAGACAGACATACGCACACACACACACACACACAACACACACAACACACACACACACACACACACACACACACACACACACACACACACACACACCACACACACACACACACACACACACACACACACACACACACACACACACACACACACACACACACACACACACACACACACACACACACACACACACACACACACACACACACACACACACACACACACACACACACACACATATATATATATATATATATATATATATATATATATATATATATGTATGTCGGGATAGACACAGAAGGTACTTTCTGTTCCCATACGGCACACCAGTGGCAGCATATAAGTGACATCACCAAAAATTTCATGCTCCGTGTGTAAGCTCTGCGAGCTCAGCGATTTGTGCTGTATTTGTTCTGAGGCGACGCTTATTAAGTTCCGGGCAGGCATTCCCGCGAAGCACAGGGGGGCCGGCCACCAGAGCTCCAGGTAACACTGACCCACACCAGACCGCGAACCGGACTTCTGGCCTTCCGAACTGACGGCTGGCTGGCAGTGTTTTTCATAGGTCCCTTAGGACCTGACCATATATCCTCTTGGACAAGTCGGGAGCAAACAGTTCTAAATCTGTCATCGGTCGCACGCTTTCCCTGCTCTTGTCGATGAGGGCCTTTCAACGAGCGTGGCATTCTGTGCCCTGTAAACTGAGTTAATGCTGATCGGTCACAGCTGTTGCTCACAGATACTATTAATTCGACCTTGCCTTGCAGCTTTTAAGGTCCAACATACCAGGCAAGGCTGACTGGAAACCACGCACCAGGGCATATGCATGTACTTGATAATTTGTATTGGGACATGAGTTTGCATGCGCGTGAGTGCTCGTGCGGAGCATGCGCTGCTCTCCTGACCATTGCCATGATGTCACGCCATGATCGCTCCCGGGCATGGTATCACACCATGCTGAGCCTTGGACACAGTGTCACGCCATAGTTGCCCCGGATATGGTGTCACGCCATGGTCGCCCCGGACATAGTGTCACGCCATAGTTGCCCCGGATATGATGTCA